GCTCCTGGATTAGTTCGAAATTCAAGAACAAAAATCATACGGAATTCTCGGCAGAGTCTCATAGATCACATGACGAAGACAGAAAGTTTAGCAAGGGGTAATAAATGGCAATCCGAGAAGACTAATATGGGATCAGACACTGTGAACAAAGGATTGCCATTAACCGATGGTTCGTCTATAGGAACCGAAACTGTAAATCCCACGTTTGAGGGCAACCTGCCAAATGTTCAGTCTCCTCAAACTCAGCAAAATGAGAGTACTTTTATTCCAAGTATCCAATCTTCTCATACTCAACAGAAGGAGATGACTCTTGAAGGTACTCAGCAAAATTAAAGCACTCCCGATCCTCCATCACATCTGGGAAATCAACATTCTCAATCACATGAAGATATCATTGGTACATAGCTAATACTCTAAAATTTTTGTTGTTTTGTTGTGTTGTTTCATTAATTGTTTGTTGTCGTGTTGTTTCATGAACTGTGTTGTGTTGTTTCATGAATTGTGATTAGACTTTTATTATTATTATTTTTGTTTAGATTATATATCAATTTCTTCTTCCCTATTATTTTTTTTAGTAAAATTATTCACTATGCCATCTTTGTCTGATGGCGTCTTTCTGTTTTTCACACACAATATGCTTGAAAATTTGAGTGCGGTTTGTAAGTTATGTTCGAAACTCTGCATGTATTTATCCGACAAAAATTTGTAGTTCTTGCAAAAGTGAAGAAGCACATGAAGATCATAGTTTAGACTTCTGGTAGGCATGTTCTTTTCTCTTTCTTCACAACCAAACCTTTATTCAACTGGTTCCTCGACTTTTTCTGGCACAAGACAAGATACTTTGCTGCTAGCTATTGGCTCAATTGCTTTTCTGGTTTTTCGTTATACGCTTTATTTTCGCCACCAAACTCCAATTTAACCAGCTAAACATTCAACTTAACAGCTTACTTTCATCTTTAAGTTCCAAAGGCTTTGATGGAGTCTGCCTTTTGAATGATGTGATGAGTGTCTCGTTCATCAAATAAACATCCTTTCTAGTTACTAATTCATTCTTTCTAGTATTCACAAGAAGCAGCAGTCTAAAATTTTTTAAAAGTTAATATTGTTCTTCAAATTAGGGAGACAGAAGAACTCGACTAAGGTCTTGTCATAAAAGTTAACCTTGGTCATATGAATTGCTTAAACTTAAAAAAAATACTGTCTTATGAGCTGATTATGCTTGGACTTCAATTGTTCAACACATTGTCCAGTTTAACCATTAGGAGTGTTCACAAAAGCTAGTGCTTTTCAAGGAAGTTATTTATCGTAGTTACATGTTGTTAAGAATAAGAAATTGGTAATGTGTGCAGATAGAAACTGGAAGTTGACTTCATCAGGATGAATAAGCTGCTAAAGGGTTTATTAGATTGTAAGTGAAACCAAAAGCAAAATAACAAAACTAAAGCACCTTCCTGGTAATTTTAGAGATTTTGATTTAATTATACTATACACTCAACTGGAAGCTAGATTCTGATCAAATTATAATATACACTCAACTGGAAGCTAAGCTTACAATCACTTTTTTAAGTGACTTCAAAATACTCCCTATTATGTTACTGTAATCTCTTCCTGTTGTTCAAATTCTTTATGCCTCTTGTACTTTACTCGAGCGAGACCTAGTGTTTATTTAGTGTGGTCTATTGTTTAGTACCTTAATTATCCTTGCTCAAACCATGTTCTATGCTTTTTTTCTTGAATCACACTAACTCTTTCACGCTGATTATTGTTTTCTAGAAACATGCCTTCCAACCTTTTTTTTACATTCATTATCTGGATAGAAAAATTAACTTTTCTGTATGTAAATTTTTTTCTTTTCTTTTTCTTTATTTAAAAAATTCTAACAGAGCATGATTCATTAACACTATACATTGCTTATCATTTATTAGTGCAATCAATTTTGTTGTGCTATCTATTTGTGGCTAAGAGATCGGACATTCGATTATATTTTTAAGTTTTCTTATATCTTATGAGTATGATGCTTTTTACTAATTAAAATAACTGAGTGGTGAATATGCAGCTTCCAATACCACCATTAAGAAAAGACGTGGACAAACCATGGGCAAAGGTATTATGAAGGAATTCCAGGCTTGCGGGAAAAAAATGAAGGTAACTGTGGATCCATCAATCGGAAGACCTAAAAGTAGAGACGAGTCTTCAAAGTTTTCTAGTCAAATTGGTGTAGTCACCCGAGACGTACTTCTGGTGCCAGTAAGGTGGAAAGATGTTGATGAAGAAAAAGATCTTCAACCTGGTATTGATCATATAAAGGTAAAAATTAGAAACACTTTTCAAGTCGCATGAATACATTATTCATATTACCTTAAATAATCTCATTTTTATTTGTGTAGATCCACATGGATATTAATTTGGATGATCCGACTGTAAAATGCTGCGTGATTGATAGAGTCCAAGCTAGTTCACGCCAAAAACGTTGACTGCATAAACATTACAAGAAATATTCGTCCCATGAAGAAGCTAAGAATAACAAGCCCTCTTTTTGTGCTAGTCAAGAAAACTGGGAAGAAATGTGTGAGCTTTTTGCCTCGCCTAAATTCAAAGTAATGCATTATTAACATTATTCTTCTATTTTGCATAGTAAATTTGTAGTTTTCATATTTTTAGTTTTCTAGTGTCCAACCACATTACTTATGATTTGACAGCACCAAAGTTTGATTAATGTGACGAATCGACAAATGTTGCGTGCTCCACATGTTTCGGGCTGAACACCTTTTATTGTACTTCAACATGAAATAGTAAGTTTATATTGAATATATTAATTTATTTATGATCAATATTTTTTTTTCTTTTTGAATTTAAACTCTTTATGCTTATTTTATGCTTACTGTTAAAAATTCTTATAGTCTGAGAAGTAGATGAATGGAGGACCACTAGATATGATTGAGCTTTATAAGCGTACGCATTATAAGGAAAAAGATGGTTGGTCAACAAAAGAGGCAGAAGAAAACTGGGTAAGTTGCATGCACAATCTCTTATTCTAATTGTTGAAATGAATATTAATATGACTATATGGTTTTTATTGGTATTTGTCAGGACTTGATGATATCAAGGAGAGAAAAATATTCTGAACAAGGCGTTGAGAAGAGTGCACAAGATATACTTCTTGAGGTTCTTGGCCATGGAGCTGGATATATAAAAGGTTATAGGTATAGCCCGATGCCGCCAAGTAGACGTAAGGCATATGACTCGAATGGACAGAAGGAGCTTCTAGAGACACAAGAAAAGCTGCGTGAGAAAGAATCGGAAGTGATTGAGCTTAAGGACCAAGTTAGTGATTTGAATGTAAAAGTAGACAAACTTATGGCTTTTATGTCTGCCAATGGGAACATAATCTGAGATTGTTAGCTTTGTTATTATTATTATTTTTTTTTTTGAACATTTTGAGATTGTTAGTTCGTTTATTGAAGTTTTTAATTAGCAAAATTATTATTATTGTTGTTTTTTTAATTTATCATCTACAACATATTACCATCATATGTTATTTATAAATTGTCACTGTATTTTCTTTTTCATGACAATTGTTTGGAGTGACGATAGTTTTGTCACTGTATTATATATTTCATGACAAATATATTTATCACTAAATATTTGCAATTAATGACAATTATTATATTTGTAATAGTGACATTTTAAATTATAATTAAAAATACTTTTTTTCACAACATGTAATCGTGGTGTATTGTTAGGATTTGTCACTATATGAAATGATAAAATGACAATAATTTTTTTCACTAAATATTTACCTATTCATGACAACTTATGTTGTCATTATATCTCAAGCTTTTGATGACAATCTTTTTTTTTCGTAATCATAGAGATAATAATTTACGACAAAAGAATTCGTCGTTGTTGTATATTTTTGGAGACGATGAATATTTTGTCACTACTTCTATTTTTTTGTGATACTTTTGGTATCGTCATATTTAAAATTTATTTTCGTGACGACCAATGTTTTGTAATTATAAAACAACTCTTTCATGACGAATTCTATGAAATATGATGATTATTTTAACGAAAATGCCACAAATATATTCGTCATTGAAATTTTATAAATTTGTAAAAAAATAAAATTTGTCACTAAACAATAATACTTCGATGACAAATTTAAGTTTTTGTCATTTAACACTTATTTTTTTATGACGAAATAATCATTTACGTGACAAAATTTCTATAATAAACGTGACGATATCCATATTAGATTTAGAATAGAGTTGATTTCAAATCAGGAGTTGAAATACCAGAGAAAGGATTCACTGATAGCGGTGTTCGACCCATGCCTATCGATGAGTCCTTCGCTCTTCAAGGAAAGAATTTCTTAAGAGAGTGAGAGTTCCAAAATGTGTATAGAAAGAAGAATGAGAAGTTGAACTTCGCACTACTTCTGACTTCACTTCACTTCGAAAAGTTTGTTTGGTCAATCTAAGAGGAGCAGTGGAGAGGTATAAGTGGGGTAGCTTCATAAGTGGGAAACGGGGGTGAGGACGCTTTGGTTGTTCCTCTCTACGACTTATACCCCGATCATAGACTTAAATGTCGACTTGCTTAGCATTCTTCCGGTTGGGTTGAATCTGCTTTGAGTGTGAATTTCATCGGCTCCTCCTCTCTTGCCCTCTTGATGGTATCCAGTTGAAATGGTTGCTGGATAGCCCCTAGTTCAAGCTCTAAGTCAAGCATTCACGCACCAATGGGCTGCTAAAAGGAAAGAGCGTACCCGCCTACCTAACTCCTATCCTCTGGATGGACATAGGATCCTGTCTCAACCACACCGCCCAATTGGCTTTTGTCACTTTTGCGCTCCGACTGCTACCACAGAGAGGAGAAGTCCCCAATTAAGACCTAGAAGCTGCCTTAAAACCAAACCCTGCAATCCGTAACATGGTTGATACTCTTAACGGACGCTTAAGCGTTCCCATATAATTGTACCAACCAAGGGGATCTTTGGACGCGGCTATTTTTCGAATCGATACAGGTGACACATCAATTGTCGACCTATCTTGTGACGATCTGGGAATTTTCCCAGTCACTGGTCGTCTGGGTTGCTCCCTGGAAGGAGCAGGCAAAAGGCATATTTTCGCCATCGGTAATTACATCAAGCAGAGGTTGTTAAAACCGATTCATCAGTGGTTGGCCAGGGTCCTTAAGCTGTTACCAGCCGACGGGACCTTTGACCAAACAAAACCACTGGGCCGGTTGGAGGGTGCCTCGCATTGAGAAGTTATGGTCACGAAAAGTGACGAAATATCATGATGAAACTTATAAACGTCATTAAAGTTAAACATTTGGTCACAAATTCGAATTTCGTCACCTATACCTAATATGACGCGGCTACAGTGACGATCGATGTGACGATAAAATTTCGTCATCATTGTACTTTTTTGACGAAAAACAAGGCTTACATGACGAAATTTTTCGTCATGTTTTGCGAAATTTCTTGTAGTGAAGTAATAGTTTGAACATTTTTTTTTCTTTTCAGAAAAAAATATGTTAGTAAGGAGCAGGGGACGAATTTAGCATTGGTCTGGGCCGGGCTAAAGCCAAAGCCTTTCAATTTTTTTTTAAAGTATTGGATTTGATTTTGTTTTTGGATAATGCCCTTAGTCCAGCCCAATACATCAACCCACCTAAATTTAACTCACTTTATTAACTTAATTCTAAAATCCCAACCAAATGAATAATCCCACTTAAAAATTTATGTACTTATGCCTAATACACCAATCACCAAATAATATATTATATGTTGTTGATCTTTAAAATACCATTTGATATTTTCATCAACTTTTTTTCATTATTTTTCTATTACCCACAAGCAGAACAAGAGCTTATATTATGTGAATTACGAACATTAGGGTGTAAAATTCTACCACACAAGAGTGTATTCTTCTTTAATGTTAGGTTTATATTTTTAAAATCCCTATTAGATGTTTTTTCTATTTGTATAATTGTCATTGTCTTTTTTTTTCACATCAAACCAGCAATAATATTAAAACTCAACAAGAATGTCTTACAATGCGGAGCCTAAGTAGGCTTAACCCTGCTAAAGCAAAAGCACTATAACATTGTTGTTGAGTGATAGTTAACAACAACAATTTAACATAATTATAGTTGATTAATTAAGTCGAATAGTGATATTATTGATAAGAATTTTGGTCATACAATACGTCGATTTTTCATGCAATCGACGCTACAATCGTTGGAATTTATTATTCTTTTGTTTCGAATCTCATAAGGAAGAGAAAAAGGGCCAAAAGTCCTTTACTCTTGGTCAATTCCACTATTTATAGCATCGGTTGGCCCGTTGTACGAGGTAGGTGTGATTGCATTAAATGTAAAGTCACTTTTTTGAGGCGGTTGTCTGCTGATTGGGCAACATGAATGATGTCTTGATGAATATTCGTTGCCTTGTGAAAAGTAAACTTTCTTGGACCTCGGTTCAGGTGATTTTCTTCTGTGAAGACCTCGGTTGGAATCAGAAAATATTTATTCTCTTTATTTTATTGCTATAGAATGATGTCGGTGACTTATTCAGGAAATAAAGTCAGTCACCACCTCATGAATTCCTAGGTGTACTCACTTAGACTCTCAGTCTGTCATCACGGTGGGATTAGCATTAATGATGTCTTTTGTGCCGCAATTATCGAGAGAGATATCAACAAGCATGCCTTAATAGATACATGAAATAACATTACAAATTTCCTCGAATAGCCATATTAGCTAAAGAAGTCGAAACTGTACAAATACCCTTATCAAATTTAAAAGTACAAGAATCAAAATACAAGCATATAGACTTTAAAGCTTCTATAGTTGCAATCTTCATGTCCACTACCCATGTGCTCCCACAGCACTAGTTGACAGCCTTTAGATTGTCCACGAAGCAAGTCACATTTCTCCAATTGAGTTTTGCTGCATGTTTGAGCACCCAAACAACTCCCACAGTATAGGTCTCGACTAAACTTCCATTGAAGTCCCTAAATGCATCTCATAACAGTATATCCTTCCCCTCACAGAAAGTTGTCCCTCCTAGCCCCGATCTCCCATTGCACAAGAAACAGTTAACAAATAAAAACTTGGAATTCCAACCCACCCCCATGTTGTCTCTACATAAAACCACCTCCATGTCTACACCACACTCATAAAGATCCTCACTCTTCCCCATCCCCCTACTATCTAAACCAGCAGCCTCACCCTTCCTCACAGCATTTTGCAAGTGCCAATCATCAATATCCCTTTGGACAATCCTAACCTCCCTACACATTTATTCTAATAAACCCAACTGTTTTAGGTTTTCCATAGCCACCACAACATATAAGTGGACAAGATTTCCCACTCATTCTTAACCGCAACGTATATGGTTTGTTAGGACCACTTAATATTAATGTGTATATTAGATTGTCAAATTTTGATAGAATCTGATTGGGAAGCATGTTTTGGGGATGTTAAAGTTTTTTGCTCAACAAATGGTACTGATGTTCCAAACATATATGATTTTTATAAGGTTGATCGTTCTTGTGGACATACCACAATTCAACGTCATTACCACTTTTACATTTGTACTGGAACAATTGATTTCATTTTGATAGAGTTAAATATATGGTTTAATGATACTTCTATCGATCTCTTTTCTCTCACTGTGGCATTAATTAGATCCTAAAAATTCTTTTGAATCATTCGTACTGATGATATTTGCAAGCTCACAAGAAAGTTCTATTCAGAGGATTTTGCACCTCATGATATATTACTACTTTAGAATATTATTTGATTTGTTATAAGCATGATGTGCTTAAGAATTTTGAAGCATCTACTCTCAGTGAATTATGCCAGAAATTATGGAAAGTGGTAGATCGAATGTGTATATTATGTTAACTAGATTTATCTATTTAGTTTTGACACTATCGGATTCTACTTTTGCAACTGAACGAGCTTTTTCAGCCATGAAGCATGTGAAGTCAGTATTTCGTAATAAGATTGATGATTTTCTCGAAGATTGTTTGGTTATCTTCATCGAGCGGAATTCTTCTCGTAGTATAAGTATAGATTCTATCACTGATGAATTTTGCTCATTAAAAGCTCATCGAGCATAATTTTAGTGACTATTTAAAGAAAAAAAATTATTTTATTTTTATGAAATTGAATTTTTATATTTATAGCCCAATCTACTCTTAGTTTCTAGATCCGTCCATGTTTAAGAGTTTGTAATATATGTTCATATATGAAGTGTGGTTGTATATATGTAGTGGTAAATATCAAATGGCCATTGAAAAGTTAATTAGCTGTTTCATATCTATATATATTAACAGTGGCGGACCCAGGCAGGGGCCCGTAGGGGCACGGGCCCCTGTGCAAGTTTTTTAAAAAATTAGTACATATATAATTATATTGTAAATTAATTATTGAAAGATATTCTTAAAAATTTATGTTGTTTGTACTTTGTATTTGTATTATGTTGTAGGGAACATATATAAATGAGTTACGTCGATTTTCCACAAAAGTCAACATTGATTGTGATACATATTGAATTTAGGTGTTCTTAAAATTATAATTATAAGTTTAAAATGTGTTTGTCATTGATTTTTTAACTAATAAAGTATTTATCTTTATTATAAATAATAAGTCCACGAATGCTGACGTTGTAAGAATATCCAATGCAAAACAAAAAATGTTGATATTTGAAAAAAATATATTTAATAAGATTTGAATTTATATAATTATGAGTGATATAGTATGAAAGAATATGCAGAGAATATTTTTTTTTTATTGCACTTTGTAAAAGTTACGTTTGTGCCCCCTCAATCTTACGAGTCTGCGTCTGCCCCTGTATATTAATTTGTTGTTTTGATATAACATCATAATCATCATCATCATCATCATCATCATTATTATTATTATAATAGAACGTTTGGCCTGATGCCCGCTAGGGATAGAATTAAGTCCCTTTATTTGTAATCCATATAAATTCGAGCTTTTTAGACTCGTATCATTTAGCCCGAAATAACTAGAGCTAGCCCGTCCAACATTTCTACTCACGCTTGGCCCAACTGGCCCAGGCATGGATGTTGCCGATCAACCTAGTTTCTATTTTGTTATGTTTAAAATTAAAATAATATGCATAAATATATACATATAAATAATGTTTATGTGATAAATTTTTGTAACCAAATACTATATCATTGAAAGAGGTATATAAAATTTGTTTTTGAGTTATTATGTTTATGTGATAAATTTTTGTAACCAAATACTATATCATTGAAACTTTAAGGTATATAAAATTTGTTTTTGAGTTATGTGTTTTTGTTATTGTATGTACAATTGTAAGATAAAATAGACTAATAGAGTGTATATGTAATGTACACAAACTTTAAAATTAATCATCACATTCAATAATTGACTAGTATCCGAACAGTTGAACCGATGATTCGAGGACTCGGAGGCTAACCAGGGTCGGAGTACTAGGGGTGAGCGTGGGTCGGTACGGTTCGGAGATTGATAAATCTCCAAAAATACCAAACAACGGAGATCCCAAAATTCGATCTCCGGAATCGTACCTAAAATTCGGTTCCGTTCGGTTCGGTTCGGAAATTTTTATTTTTCGGTTCAGTCCGGTTCGGTATTCGGGACAATTGGGACGATTCGGTTCGGTATGGTTTAGTTCGGATCTTCGGAGATTTTTTTTTTAATTATTTTTTAATGACTACCTAATTATATTTCAATTTTTATATGCTTTAAAAAAACAACATTCATCAATAATTCATCATATTGAAGATTTTATTTTGAAATCAATTCTATAAGTAACTCTAAATTTTAGTTATTTAATTTTTATATGCTTTAATAAAACGAACATTCATCACTACTTTCTCACATTAAAGATTTTATTTTGAAATCAACTTTATAAGTAACTATAAATTTTAGTTATAACTAAAATTTGTGCAACTAATATTGAAAATTTAAAATACAAATAAAATATAATATTTTTTTCTTACAAAAATGTTTTTAAAACTTTCATATTATTTTAAATAATTATTTTATAATAGAAAAAAATTCAATTGTAGATCAAGTATTACTAAGAATGAAATTTAAATGAATGTTAATATTTATTACTATATTATATAGAATCACAGTTGACATAAACTATATTAGTAACACATTTAATGTTATAATTAGGTTCTTAATTTCGGTCCTCCGGTTCGGTACAGTACGGTACGGTTTGTTTCGGTTCTCGGTACGGATATTTGTGAAATCTCCATAACCGTACCAATTATTTTTTCGGTTCGGTTCGGTTCGCAGAAAGTCAAATGGTCAACGGTTATTTTTCGGTTCGGAGTGATTTCAGTTCGGTTTTCGGAACGGTTCGGAATTCTCCGAGTGCCATGTACACTGCACGGAGAAGGTCATAAAAGTAAAATCAGCAGGAAAGTGCACAGAGATCACGCGCAGCGCGTGGAGTGAAGTAGACACGTAAATGTGAACAGCCATGCAATAAATGCAGCCACAACCCGTTTTTCCCTACAAACTCTGTATCCAGCATTTAATGATTTTGCGGAGTACAACTCCCTTGGAATTATTTAGAGCTTGTTAAATTTAAAGAATATATATATATATATATAATATATTATAAAAGAATGAGATAGAAATCATAAAATATTATTTAATTATATATTTTGTTATATTACAATATGTAAATGTTTGGTTATGTGAAATATTTCAAAATCGCCAGTTTCATGATTTTAATGTATTATTTGAATTATTTCAAAATTATAAATTTCATGGTTTTTAATTGTATATAAATAATAGTATGATGACTTTCTGCAGTGTATATATGCTAGGTGACAAATGAAAATTTTATTAAAATTTAAAAAAAAAAAAAATTATCACAATCATGAATTTAAAAATTATCACCTAGCACATATAATCATATATAATCAGTATGCATTATATATGCTAGATGAATTAAAAATTGTTTTTAGAAATAAGTCTTTTGAACTTCTTAATTTAACGGTTTTTTAGTTCATAGTAACAATAATAAAAAAATAAATAATAATAACTACATCAAATTTCAAGTTTGTAAACAATCACAATCGAAAATAACAACAATTCGATCAGCAATAAAAAATTAAATGAAATTATGATAAGAAGCACATCAAATATTTAAAATAGTAGTTAATAACAAAGTAACAAATTCCAACACACAAGAATAGCTCCATTAATATATGTATATACCAAACCACCTCAAAGGGTGCAACCCTTTTGAGTCAATACCCGAACCACCACCATCTAATGGTGCTAAGAACCACCGTCAGCCGCCAACTGCCGCCAACGATCACGATCCCCACCACCACTCGAAGGTTTTTTTTTTCCACACGTACGTGGTTCGTTCTTGACTCACCACCCCCTCGGTGGCTCAGTCAAATTACATCTCAAATAGACCACAAATTCCTCAAAACACTACAACAAAGACAAGACCCGACCCGACCCAAAATCACCACACAAAAAACACACAACAAAAAGAACCCTAGCCATGTTAAATGTGATACAAAATTACCACCAAGAAGGAAACAAAGGCCGGGTGGGCCTCACCATCAGCCGTCGCACTGAAGGGCGGCCTTGATCTTCTGAACTGTGCACGAGATTAGGTTGTTGACAGTCTCCACGGACTCCACCGTGAGCTTGGCCGTGGGCAAGCTGTTCACCAGGATCTGGAAGGCCACGGTCAACAGAGACCCAACAGAAGACCTGTGGGCCTGAGGCGGCCCATCGTCGCTGCTGGGCCCGTCCCCATGCTGCCCGTCTGGGGCGATCGAGAATCCAGAGGGGAGCAGCGCCACGTAGGCGGAGTCCCCGCCGTTCATCACGACGTGCATTGCCGGGATGTCGACCGGGGCGTACACCACGAGCGAACCCGACGCGTCTATGCACGTCTCCTGCAGTATCAGCATGCTGTTCTGGTTCGAGTCCATGCCCTGTCCGAAATTACCAAATTACCCCTGGTAAATTGGAGCAAAGCTACGAAAGCGACCACAGCCAACTCACATTGCCATGACCTTTTCTTTCACGAAATTTGCATGCATGGGCCCCAAAAAAAGTTTTGACAGCACAAAGCATTTGACTTTTTACACATGAATTATATTCTATTACACGCCAGCAGAAACTAAAAGACACTTTTGGGTCTGCCTCCATAGGTCTGTCTTTTATGAATACTTCCAAATTCTTTTGTCATTTTCTCAATCAGAGATTTCATGTCTAGGCTGACCCACTAAACTGATTATGGGCAAATGCGTCATTTCACGATAGACTAGAGAAGAACATGAAATATATATGATGATATATCAAAAGCCCTAATTAACTAACTAATTTTTGCCCAAAATATGATCAGTCTCAAATGGCTCATATTTCATCAGAAAAAATGTAACAAATTTTTAACTTTAAGATAATAGAAACACATTAGTATATAAACAGAAAAACATAAGATACTAAACTATATAATAACTGCAA